CTGGGGCCCAACCCCATCTGGCCCTGCTGTCTATGTTTTTACCACTGGGTAGAAGCCCTGCCTAACCCACCTGAAAAGGACCTTTGGGATCAATCCCAGCATTCCTTTCTGAAGAAATGGTATCTTTTTAGGAGAGAAGTGAGGGTCAGAGGAAGAGAGGAAAGATGTCAGCCCTGAATCCACAGAAATCTATCTCAGGAGGCTCCTGCTAACTGTGGTATTAAGAACTTCATTCCCTTTTGGTTCTTTGTAACCACACGGTTCTGAGTCCTGAGGACCTGAGTTCACCCCATGTGCACACCCAGCATTTTCCATGAGAGACCTGAGCGGCTGGTACCCAGCAGCGTACCAGTGACAACCGCTAACCAGGTGCTATGTACCTGGGCCCAGCCAAATGCCCACCCGTCCCCAGCCCACGGCTCCTCCTTGGACTTGCTCTGGCCTCCCAGCTCAGAGCCTACATGCACAGACCAGTCAAGCCTTGTGGCACCTTTACCTAAAAGCACTTCTCTTAAATGTACAACTCAGAGGAGAATATAGGTACCTATCACAGCACAACTACCCCATCTACCCATGCCTCCAAAACAGACTGAGCCTCAAGTTTGGTTAATTCCAATCTGCCATCTTCAGGTTTGGGCCCAGAGCTAACCAAACCCAAAGAATAACCCAGTTCACTGCTCCAAACTGACCATGTAACCCAATGGGTCTCACCCCACTAGAGCTCTTAACCGATACTAATTACAGCACCCCTTCTTGCTTAGGGGAGCCCTCCTGGAGACCCAATTCATTTTGGGTGCTGGAGAACTAGAGTGAATGATACCCATAGTCCCCCCTCCCTGGAGGAAACACACAGGAAAGGGCACAAAGCAGACACCTTGACAAACACAGGTGAATTCAAGGACACAGTGGGGAGTTTCCTCTTAGGGCTCCAGTGTCTGAAAGAGAGGCAGCCAGAAAGCCTTGGGAAAGGAGGCAGCAGTTTGGGCCCTGACATTCAGAGCGTCACTGACAACCCCTCCCATGGTGTCCGGTATTTAGCAGATGCCCAATAAATATTTCAAGAAAGAATTAAGTCACGAATGGCTGCATCACTTAGCAAATGGGGTAAAGTTCACATTCATGAAACCTTTAGGGGATCAACAAATAAAACCCAGAGAACTGTTGATGTCCACTTTGATCCTTGACTCCCCCTCTTTCCCCTTCTCCTGAACTTCTAATACTTCCATCATAATGATTCTGTTTCCTTATTGGGCAGATTGTTTCCAAGAAGAGACTTCAGTTTTTTAGAATGGTTTTAGATTTACAGAAAAATTGAGAAGATAGCACAGAGTTCCCCCATATAACCCCTAGCCCACATTCCCCTATTGTTAACATCTTACATTAGTATTGTACATTTGTTATAATTAAAGAGCCAACACTGGCACATTATTATTAGCTAAATTCCATATTTCATTCCTATTTCCTTAGTTTTTGTCTAATGTCTTCTTCTGCTCCAGGATCCCATCCAGGATACCACATTAGTCCTGTTGGCTGAGACCACGTTTCAGACTTGGTTTTGGTGACCTTGACAAATTTTGAGAAATACTGCTTAGACATTCTACTGTAGGATGCCCTCTAGTGGAATTCGGGGTGTTTTTCTCATGGTTAGACTGGGGTTATGGTTTGGGAAGGAGGACTACAGAGGTCAGATGCCATTCCCACCACATCAAGGGCACACACTCTCCACATGAGTGTTCACTATGGGAGGTGACCTTCATCACCTGCCTCTGGTGGCTCTTGCCAAGTTCCTCAGCTGCAGGCTTACTCGTTCCCCCTTTTCCCAACTGCTCTCCTTGGAATCAAGTCGTTATGTGCAGCCATCAGCTAGGTGGGCAATGACACTCTTCCAGATAACTTGTAAGTATTTGGGGACTGTCACTTTGGAACAGACACGGTCAGCGCTTGCCTATACCTCATCAAGTGGTACAACACATACTGAAGTTACCAAGCACGAGCCAGCTGTGGGTTCCGAGAGGAGGGGTCTTGCCCTGCCGGCTTGGGTTACTTTGAATACACTTCTCGGATGATTCCTAAGTACCTTTTGAGTTGATCAGTCAGTCTCCACAGAAGAACATGGGCTGCTCAGGCCTCTCTCACAGGAAGTGGATCTTCATCCCCCAACCCGAGGTGGTTAGACACTCCCTGCTGTAAGTGAGCAAGACCAGCATCATTCATCACCCAGTCTGTGCGGCACATTTCGCAGACACAGGCCGCCTCTTTTCTGTGAGCTGCAGGTCCTCACTGAGCATGCTCAGTGCGCCTGGCAGACTGGGGTCACGAGGATGATGAAATGCAATCCACCTGAGGCAGACTCTAGATGGGATGTAGTAGTGTTCTATTGCTGCACAAGTTACCACAGTGTAGAGGCTGAAGGCAGCACTTGCTCAGTATCTCGTGGTCTCCATGGGTTGGAAGCCAGGCACAGTACTTCACTGGGCTCTCTGGGTAGGGTCTCACAGAGCCCCAGAATTAAGATGTCAACAGGGCCGTGTTCCTTCCTGGAAGCTCCAGGGAAGACTCCACCTGCACGCTCATTGAGGTTTGGGTAGAATTGCGTTCCTTATAGTTGTAGGATGAGGCCCCATTTCCTCGCTGGCTGCCAGCTGGGGATCCCATTTTTCTCCCACTCTTGTTGCCTGCATTCCTCCTCTAGCTTGCCGCGTGGTCTCCTCCATCTCGAAGCTGGTGACAGCAAGCACATCAAGTCCTTCTCAGGCTTCGAATCCTCTTCTCCATCCCTGCTGAATTCATCTCCTGTCTCTAATTTTAGGGCTTGTGTGATTACACTGGGCCTGGCCAGATAATCCAGAATAATATACCTATGTTAAGGTCCATCTAAACCATAGTTAGTATCCCTGATTATTCCCGCCAAGCCCCTTCTGCCCCGTAATGTAACGTATTCACGGGCACGGTATCTCATGATATTCTCAGTCCCAGGGATTTGGGGGATGCAGTCTTCCAGGGGGCCATAGCTGTGCCTACCATACAGTGTTTCTCGAACATTAGTGTACATGGGAATCATCTGCAGGACACCGTATTGCAGATTCTGATTCAATGGGCCTGGAGTGAGAGTCTGCATTTCGGACAGGCTCTCAGGTGATCCTGCTCCTGGTGGTCTAGGGAACACATTTTGAGTGGCAGGCTTTAGACCAGGGGTAGCAAATGTACAGCCCCAGCTCAGAGGTCAAACTCAAGAGAAAACATCAGTACATAAAACCTGTGGCTCGGGGTCCCTGGGTGACTCAGTCAGTTAAGCGACCGACTTCGGCTCGGGTCATGATCTCGCAGTTTGTGGGTTCGAGCCCCAGGTCGGACTCTGTGCTGACAGCTCAGAGCCTGGAGTCTGCTTCGGATTCTGTGTCTCCCTCTCTCTCTCTCTTTCTCTCTCTGCCCCTCCTCCACTTGTGCTCTCTCTCTCAAAAATAAAAATGAAACATTAAAAAAAATTTTTTTAACTGTGGCTCTCAAACCTAACAGCACACCAGAATCACCAGAAAACATGTTAAATAAAATGCAGATTGCTGGGCCCCTCCAAGTGTTTCTGAGTCAGAAGGTCTGGAATGGGACCTGAGGATCTGCATTTCCAACAAGCCCAGGCAATGCTGATGGCTGCTGGTCCAGAGACACTTGGTCTGTCTCCCGGCTTTGTGCGGCGGTTCTCCGAGTTCTCATCCTTTGCCACACAACGCCATTGAGACAGCCAATCACTTTGTGAGTGTTGGGAGGAGCACTTAAGACCATTTGGTCGTAAGGTCATAAGGTGTCATCTTTGAAAGCAGAGTCCCTGTGTCCGATATCCATTGCACCTGTGGGCACCTCTGTGGCTCTCGTCCGAGGTAACCTGGTGCCTCGTGGGATCTCCTCCACTTTCATCTAACAGTTCTTTTCACGTGTTGAGCTGTATCCTTCTGCTTCGGGAGCACAGTGAAGCACATTCAAGAATATCTCGAACCACTGACATCATCAGTTTTCCCAAACTCATCTTTTAAAATGAAAAGTGAGCTTTATTGTTTGCATTACAGAAGCAACACTCGTTTGTTGTAGACAATGCAGATAAAAAGAAAAGGGAAAACATTGTAATCCCAGCCAAAGGTAGCTTATTCTGTTTTCCCTGGCATTTTCTATACATACCTGTCAATCCAAGTATATATGTGGGGTTTTCTTTCCAAAAATACATGGTACAAACTGTGTTGTAACCTACTTTTCTTAACATATTATAAATGTCTTTCTACCTCATCCTCATTCTCAGCCCCTAGATTCAACCCCCTTCACCCAATAAAAAGCATCAAGTGCTGTGATTTGTGGCTTCCCTCCCACACACCTGCAGTTGAAGGGAGACTAATGAACAGCAGTGGGTCCCAAGGGGAAAGAGGCAAAAACGTGAAGGACACGGGGCGATCAGAAACAGACTCCTTTGTCCCTCAGCAATCGGAGGCAGCTGTTACAGAACTCGTTCCCCCTTTTTTTTTTTTTGGAGAAAGTGATTCAGCTGAGCATTCCTGGATCCGGAAATGCTTCAGCACCAAAATCAAATTCGTAAGAAAGCTGAATCAGGAGCATTTGTGTCTGGGTAATGGAGAGCACAGTCACAGGATCAAAAGGGCTTCCTGCTGCTGTTTTCAGGGTAATTCGCTGCTTCCAGAATTCTGAGTATTGATAAAGGTGTGTTTGGGGTAAAAACTTACTTGCCATTCTCTGAGCTATGAACTTGCTCTCCAATGAATGATACATGAGTAGGGCAAGAAAGAAGGATTTATTTACGAATTAAGCTTTCACCAGTGAACCCACTAGAAACAGACAGCAGCCTCAAGGTGTGAGGTCGGGGGGGGGGGGTGGGGGTTGCTTCTGGAACCTGCAAGAAGTTTGTGGGCCCCTCTCGCCCGGGGACAGGCATTCCTGCTGACAGCTTGGAGGAGGCCGCCCAGGGCCTGGCAGCCTGACCTGTGCTTTCCTTTCCGCAGAACGAGGTCATCAGCCAGCAGCTGTCGGTCATCTTCACTCACTGCTACGGGCCCTACCCCATCCCCAAGCTCACGGAGATCAAGCGCAAGCAGACCTCGCGCCTGGGTGAGTGCCTCACCGCGCCCTGCCCCTCGCTGTTGCCTTGTGGTTGAGGACACAGAGGTAGCAAATGCCCAAAAGAACAGTACCGGAGGACGTCTAAGATGGATACAGGAGTCAGGCAGGTGGTGATCGGGGTATCCTCACATGATAACTGGAGCCTATACCTTGGAAATGTGGACAAGGAGACCCACCAGTCCCTCTAACCGAGGGATTTTCTCCCGCAGGGACGACAGCCCCAGAGCCCATGCACTTCCTGCAGGCAGGTAGATTCTGGTTCCAAAAGAGGGCAGAGCTGTGCAGGCAGCTCTTTGCCCCGACCGCTCCCCCTCTAAGAAGTCCCTCTTCCTCCCTGAGGGGGAACAAGCAGGGGACAGTGCCAGGCCCGCAGTGTTCTTCTAATGGAGTCCTTCTGCAGGGACCCAGGAGAGGAAATAAGTGCCCGACCCCTCCACCCCCCCACACACACATACACACCTCACACACACAGATACACAAGTGAGGGGAACATACCCGAGCTGAAGAGACTGGACACTCTGAAATGCCATCAGAGTACCAGGAATCACTTTTTCTTCTGGTTGGACACTGCGCTGGGCTGGCCCCAGCCTAGCACTTGACATTCCCCGTCTCAGGTAACCCTCAAGCCGCCCCAGGAGGCAGGCACTGCAAGTCCCCCCACATCTCAGTGGAAGAAAGGGAAGGTCTGTGCTGCCTTCAGATTCGCTTCATGAGCTGCCCACCTCCTCCCAAAGCCATGATTCCCTCCTTCTACAGTCCCCGCTTCTGGAATTTTCCAGGAGAAAACTTTCCATCAGGCAATTATTTCATTCCAAGGATCCTGGGGCTGCCGTAACCTGGCTGATCAGTCTGGAAATAAAGCAAAGAAATGCTTCGCTGCCTTGAAGCCCGAAACACCAGGCTTCTGTTGCAAGGGCCTTTCTCCTTGCTTCCTGGGGAATGATAAAATATTACAGACAAATCCTTTTATGATGAAGGTTGGGGACTTTCCTACTTCCTATTGCTTCCTGCAAAGACTGGGAAACATTTGAGAAATGGAAGCATCTGAAAATGCTATCCTTTAACAAAATCACTACGTTTGGAACAGGTGAGCTAGTTTACATTAGTGAAAAGGCTGAATTCGTGGAACTGTTTTAAAGTATTCTTGCTCCTGTCGTGAAAAAGTTGTTAATTGAAATGACACCAACTTTTTGCTGAAGTGAAAACCCGAGTAGCCACGTCAAATGTTGTCTGTTTTCCTTTCTGCCCATTCATGTTGGCAAAGTAGGACGTACCAAAACCACAAATGTTTCTACCTTGTAGAAAACAGGTATTAATTAAAATGCTGTCAGAGCAACACATCACAAAGACGAAGCAAATTAACAGACTTTGGAGACTGAACGTTACATTCCCAGGCCATAGCAACATCTGACATCTCGGTGCCTTAACAGACACCCGTGTTAGAGCAAACATTTGTAAGGGCTGTTTCAATGACACAGCATAAAATCTCCTTTCCCGTAGTCATAGGCGAGGAGGGAACATTTTTTCCTTCCAGATTTGCTGAGCTTTCTTTCAGCAATCAAAAGGGCCTAGTTTTTAAGGCCAAGCATTGGAATTCCAAGGGTTATAGCATCAACAGAAGAAGAGCAGACTGGAGAAGCTCAAAGCTCACAATATGGAAGAAAAGGGGCAGAACATATTTATGAATAGATGGAACATGAACCAGGTAGGGTTGGCATCTTCAATAGAGCATTTCAAGCTAGGGTAACTCCCAAGTTGTCAAATAGTGATTCTTTAAGGACCTGCTTTACAGGGAAGACATGAATGATCAGTCACAAAGGCCAGGCAGGTCATATAAGTGAGTGAAATGGCTTCTGTGCAATACAATAGGGAGTGGTGGGGACTGTAGCAAACCGGAGAGCACGTGCCTGATTTTTTGTGATGCGTTGTCCTCTTGCCTCCCAGTGAATTCTGGGAGAGGATGGTTCACAGGGCTACAGGCAGGAGAGTTTAGCAATTTGGGAAACAGGAGTATGGCTATCTGGAGGTAGACAGAGTGGATGCTGAAAAGAGGGAGAACGTCACTCCAAACTTTTAGTCTTTAAAGCAAGCGGAGATGTGAATTTTAGTCAACTCTGAGGACTTCTGTGGCCTCTCTTCTCTCTTCGTCTGGATTGTTTAGAAGTTTGAGGGTTTTTTTTTTTTCATAAAATATTTTCATGATAGTGGGATTGTAAGTGATTTTTACTGTTTTATGCTTTTATGATATGTTCTAAATTAAAACTTTTTTGGGGGGCGCCTGGGTGGCGCAGTCGGTTAAGCGTCCGACTTCAGCCAGGTCACGATCTCGCGGTCCGTGAGTTCGAGCCCCGCGTCAGGCTCTGGGCTGATGGCTCGGAGCCTGGAGCCTGTTTCCGATTCTGTGTCTCCCTCTCTCTCTGCCCCTCCCCCGTTCATGCTCTGTCTCTCTCTGTCCCAAAAATAAATAAAAACGTTGAAAAATAAATAAATAAATAAATAAAAAACTTTTTTTAATGGGAAGAGGTGAGGTAGCTATACGGTACAGACAGAAGTATGAATGGAGGACCACCATCTGGGGCAGTACAGGGGCTGAGGGGCCATCCTACCTTCAGGGGCTGGAAGAGGAGAGTCGGCCTAGAAGACAAATTCTGGGTCCAGGGTCTGGGCAAAATGGAGCCGGCCAGGGGTCCAAGATAGAGTTGTCAGGGTGTGCCCAGCAGTTGGGGTCATGGCCCCCAGATATCCAGGGGGTTGATCCCCACTCTTAATGGTTAGGACAGCCTAAACCCAGCCAAAAGAAGCAGCTGGAGTTTTATTTCAGGACAACTGTTTAACCCCTGGGGAAGGGCCCATCAACAAGCAAGTCCCCAGGCTAAGAAGGAGCCTGATGTCCTTGGCAGGATCTAAGAACAAGACTGTGGAACAAGGGTCAAGGCATTCTTCACTCATTCAAAAAAATATTAATTAAACATCTACTGTGATAGTCATGTTTATTGAGGAGTACTATGTGTAAGCCATGTTGCTAAGTGCTTTGCAAATATTAACTCATTTAATGCTCACTGTAAATGATGTAGATGTATAATTGGTATTACCATTCCCATTATAAAGAAAGGGAAACAGAGGCACAGAGAGGCTAAATAACTTGCCTAAGGTCATAGAGCTGAGATTTCTGGCTTCAGAGCCCACACTCTTCCTATGCGTTACCACCTTTCTGTTCTAGACACAGAGCAAGGATGTGAAAAGAACAGACAAGGTCCTGATCTCCCAAGCAAAGTTACAGGGAGGCAAAGTAACAGTGAATACTCTGTAGCAAATGAGGCTACACCAGGGGGCTATGAGAGCACAGGTAGGGGATGCTTGGTCAGTCTGAGGAGGGTGGGGGGAGTCAGGCAAGGCTTCTTGATAGAAGGTGTCTGCACTGAATCTTGAAGCCCACATGGGGTGAACCAGGTTTGGAAGGAGTTGGAAGTGTCCCAGGTGAAGCACCAGAGATGGGAGTATGTGGCACTCGTGTAGTTTGAGCACACTGCGGGTTGACGGGGGGGGGGGGGGGGGGGGGGGGGGGGGGGGGGGGGGGGGGGGATGTGACTAGGGAGAGGCCAGAGAAGGCAGCAGTCTAATCACAAGGAGCCTTGTTAAGAAATTTGGACTTTATTCTGGGAGCGCTAGGGAGCTATGGAAAGGTTTACAGCAGAGGAGGGGCGTGATCAGATCTGCCTTTAGTAAGAATGACTGTGGTGAGGTGGACCATCGGGTTGGAGGCAGAGACCAACAGAGGCTCCTGCGGGTCCCCAGACAAGAGATCTTGTGGCCTAGAAAGGGCAGGGGCATTGGGGATGGAGAGAAATGGGACAATCGAGAAACACTTAGGAGGAAGAGGGGACAGTGTTTGTGATAGACTAGATCTGGGTAAGCCCAGGAGAGGAAGGTGTCTTGTTGCCTTCGAATCCTTGGTTTGGGCAACCAGTAGATGGTGGTGCCGTTCACAGGCAAGGAAGAATCTTTCTCACGTGAGCTGAGAATGCAGTTCATCGTGTATCCTCAGACTCAGAAGCTTGGGTGCAGACGCCGCAGAGAGGTAATCTCCCATTTAGAGACTCCTAAAGGTCCCCCCTCTCCCCGCCGGGCCCTGCAGCTCAGGTCAGGGCAGGTGACGTAATAGGAAGCCCCACCAGAGGTTAGGTCCACCTTGCCCTCGTGCAGGGGTCCAGACTGACTCAGGAGCGGAGTGGGGCGGAACCCAGTAGGGGTAGGGATGTTGGTGGATATTCCCAACAAGCAAAAGCACTGAGCTGAGGACAGACTGGCACCTTCAGGAGCTCTAGGTCTCAGTGGCTAAAAGGACAGACAAATTGGGGGGTGAGGGGGGTGGAGCTAGGGATCCTAGTGCTTAATCATGCAGACCCTCCAATCCGAATTCAAAGTTCAAAGCCCACGTTCAGATCCTGGCTACTGCACCTGTCACTGGCTCAAACTTCTGCATGCTTGTTTCCTAACTGCACAACTGACGATGGTCCCTGTCTGCCGGGACCGAATGAGTTTGCATGTGCACTTGCCAGCTTCCACAGCGCCTGGCACGTCGTAAGTGCTCAGCGAGTAGTGATATACCTCCTTTGTTGTCGCTGTTGATGAGAGCAGGGGACTGGCTCACGTGCCTCTGATTCTGGGAGAGAGGAGCTTGGATTTTGAACCACCTGGAATACAGTGGTGAGGGGGCAGAGTTTCTAGACCCCTTTGCCATCAGGCAGGGAGGGCACCAAGCCCATGTAGGAGGAGCAAAGGGGAGGCGGGCATACATTTGCCTTTCCCATCAGAAAATCATCTGCATCAGGCCGTGGCTGAGTCTCCTCTGGGGAAATGCTACTTCTAATCACAAATAAGCTACGGAGATTTCCTATGAAAAAAACTGAATTTCAGTGATTTGAGTGTTCTTTTGGCTGGTTCTGTCTCCTGTCTGGCCTCTGTCTCGCCGATGAGTATTTTATGAGCATGGTTTCCCCTGTCGGCTCTTCTTGGCACTGTCCAGAAGAAAAATGTAAACTCCTCCCTTCTCTCCACTAAAGCTACCCTTTTTCCCCTTCCTATTCTAGATCCTCATTTCCTTAACAATAAAGAAATGTCTGATGTTACCTTTCTGGTAGAAGGAAGACCATTTTACGCTCACAAAGTGCTGTTATTTACCGCCTCTCCGAGGTACGTATGGTCAGTTTTGAAAGCAGCTGAATTATGAGTGTGGCTGTTGCTGTTACTAGTCTCTGAAATTCAATTTTGGTGGGATCTTCCCTGGACTGGAAGATGATCTTTTTTAAAATCAAGAATTCGAGAGCAAAGTGCATTTTTGTACAACCGTGTTCACAGCAACATTATTCACAGCAGCCAACAGGTTTCAGAAGCATCCCAGGTGCCCTCCAGGAGAGGAATGGACAAACAAAATGTGGTATATACATATATTATTTAACCTTAAAAAGGAAGGCAGAGCTGACAGATGCTACAACCTGATAAACCTTGGGGGTGGGATGCAAAGAAACAAGGCAGTCACAAAAGGACAGACACTGTATGATTCCACTTATGTGCACAACCAAGAGTGGTGAGCTTCATAGAGACAGAAAGTAGGATGGGTTGCCTGGGGCCGGGGGCAGGGGAAGGTGGGGGAGTTGTCCCATGGATACAGAGCAAGTTCTGGAGATTGTTTTTTTAAGCACAGAGCAGCCAGTAGTATAAACAGCAGCGCCTTTGTGTGACTCAGGCAAGGGCACCGGCCCTCTGGGCAGACAGAGTGTGTACCAGGCCCAGGGCTTCAGAGCACAGCGTGAATTGGATTTTAGCTGCCCCAGCCCAGTGCCCTCACGCAGTGTACAACCTGAAATATCGTACACAGCGGCCTGGAATGGCCTGTCCTCCAAATATCCAGGAACTCTGGTGTAAGCCATCCCACACTTATACATCTTGAACCTGACTTTTCCTTGACTATGGAGTTGACAGTGGTATCACTCCCTCCTCTGCTACTGCTCTCTCTGCTTTCGATTGGAGTTAAGTTGGCCGTTTAGAGCCGCATTATCCAAAGCGCTGAACTGGGATCAGCAAAGCTCTGTCACAGAGGAAGGCAGGACGCTGAAATGAGCAGGCAGGCTGCTGGGAATGGAGGGGGCGGAGGGAGGATGAACAAAGTGATCAGGACACTGGGTACCCAGAAACAGAACCCACTTCTAGGACATTTGCTAATGAATATATGTGACCAACACTTCCTGGGTTCCTAAAAGCATCCTGGACTCTCCACTGCCTCTCCCCAAAATCACATGCAAACCCCCAGAAGTCTGCTTTGCCACAACAAGAAGAATATGCCATGCCTTACACGGTTCTCGGTTATGATGCCGTAGAAAAGCAGGATAGATATCATACCAGTGTTGATTTCTTAGTCTTGACAACCATGGCTGTGTAGGATGTTAACATCCGGGAAAGCTGGGTGGAGGGCATCCAGGAGCTCTGTACTGTCTTTATGACTGTTCTGCGAATCTTATTATTTAAAAACTATAAGTTGAAGAAAAGAACACAGCTTATGCCTAAATGTTTTGAGTGTCAGGGTGTTCCATTGACTGGGTCTGTACCCACTAGGAGCTTACAGTTTTGTTGATCGGAGGAAAGCACATCTGAAGCCCATCAGCAGGTCATCCATGGGGAGGTCGATAGGTAGTCAGCGGTTGTTGATTAAATACCTATGATGCAGCAGATCTGGAAGGGCACAGGCTCTGGGGATGCAGCAGAGCAGAAGGGCGGAGTCCCTGCCCTCCAGGAGCAAAGGTGCACAGGAGGTGGGGAGCACCACGGGTACCAGAGGACCCCATGAAGGAAGCGGCCTTCGTGATAAGTCCTGTGGGACAGACAGATGGGCTTTTAAATGGTATTTGTTCTGTTCCAGTCACCTGTTTGAGAAATAACAGTTCAAACTACTATTTTTAACTTTAAAGTTTTAACTTCAGGGCGCCTAGCTGGCTCAGTCAGAAGAGCATACGACTCTTGATCTCAGCGTTGTGAGTTTGAGCCCCACGTTGCGTGTAGAGATTACCTACACCCAAATAAATAAACAAAGTTTATTTATGTTTGAGAGAAACAGAGCGTGAGCAGGAGAGGGGCAGAGAGAGGCAGACACAGAATCCTGAACAGTCTCCAGGCTCTGAGCTGTCAGCACAGAGCCCGACATAGGGCTCAAACCCACGAACTGTGAGATCATGACCTGAGCCGAATCAGAAGCTTAACCGACTGAGCCACCCAGGCGCCCCCTAAAAAAAATAATTAAAAAAAAAATAAAGTTGTAACTTCAGATTTGATTATGGTATCTTACTGGGGCGGCATTGCATTATGACATCTGTGGATGTACTGATGATGTATTTCAGAGTGGGGGGCGGGGAATACAAGATACTACATGTTTGTCTCATTAGATTGGTGTTTCTCACAAACTGTGGATGTGTGTGGGGGTCTTTTTATCTCCTTTCTTGTGTTCTTTTTCAGGTTCAAAGCACTCCTCTCCAGCAAACCAACAAATGACAGCACCTGCATAGAGATCGGTTACGTGAAGTACCCCATCTTTCAGGTGAGCCCCAGTTGTGACCTAGGGCATTGTGCTGGTCATCCACCTGTGGGTTAGCCACTGCAGAGTCCTCAATTCCTTGCACACTGGGCCCCTCCTTACACCCCCTCCGGCTTACCATCCTTTTATCCCTACAGCATTAGTTGAGCACCTACTGGTTGCCTAGCCCTCTGCTGGGACCTGGGGACACAAGGATAAAGGACATTCCTCCCCTGGGGCGTCATAGGATAGAGCGGGTAACTGAGTAATTAGTCACTTACAATATAATGTGGGGAGGTACCAGTAGGGGGCAGGGAGGCGATGTGCTGTGACAACTAGGACCAGGGAAGTTAGAGAAGGTCTCCTATGAGGTGTCAGCTGAAATAGTGAAAGCTTAAGAGAAGCTGGGGAACCCTAGGAAGGCTCGGGGCTTAAAAAGGGGGTTAGAAGATTCTAGGCAGAGAACAGCAAGGATGAAGTCCCAAAACCATCGTTGAGCCTAATGTGATCAGGAGCCAGTGGACTTTTAACGACTGCATTCCCTCCATGCTGTGCTCCCACAAGCCAGGGTCAGGGAGCCGACGTGGGTGACCTGGGGGTGGGATCTGTGGAATTCTGAACAGAACGTTGTTTCCTGCAGTTCAGTTCAGGAAGTAGGGCCTTGGGAGGAGTGCAGTAAGAGTGGATAAGATTCAGGCAGGTGTGCCAGGGATTCATGCTCTAAGAGGGTTGTTGAGACAACTCACAGATAATGCGGGGGCAGCGGTGAGGGGTGGAGACAAGGCTGGCCATGACCAGGGCCACGGGTCAGGTTTCCAATCTGCACTTGGAAGGAAAGAGCTGCAGCCCAGGACTAAAATGCTGCATTCTCCTATTTAAAATTGGTGTCTATCACATGACGATGGGCAAAGAACCAACCTTTCTAAGCCTCAGTTTGCTCATCTGGTGGATAGGAAAGGGGGAACTGCAGTGGGAGGCAGGGAACAGCATAAGCAAACGGACAAAAGTGGGAAATCATGGGGTGTGTTTGAGGGAAAGTGATTATCAGTCTATTCAGCCGGGTCTTAAGGTATATTGGAGACTGAGAAGACACTGGGACCACTCAGTATGAGCCAAGTGGGAAGAAAGCAGGCCAGATGATGGCTTTTCCCTGGCCCCTCAGATCCTGCTGTCCAGAGGGCTGCCATGGATGTTCAGAGGAAGCCACCATGCCCTCACACTGGCCCCTAAAGCCTATTGAGGTACCTGCATCTCCACCATTAGAGATGTATTTCTTTGGTTATGTTAAAAGTTCAAATGAAAGAATCCTTCCCAAGTAACTGGGTAAGACACTCTTCTTTGAGCCTCATTTTCTCCATTTTTAACAAGTTAATACCACCTCTATCTATGTCATGGGTTCTTGAAGAGATTAGCAAGTAGGACAACTTGGCAAACTTTTTTTTGATGTTTATTTATTTTTGAGAGAGAGAGAGAGGCAGAGCATGAGCAGAGGTCGGGGACAGAGAGAGGGAGACACAGAATCTGAAGCAGGCTCCAGGCTTTGAGCTGTCAGCACAAAGCCTGCCCGACACAGGGCTTGAACTCACAAACGGTGAGATCATGACCTGAGCTGAAGTCAGACGGCTAACTGACTGAGCCACCCAGGCGCCCCTCAACTTGGCAATTTTTAAGTGGGTTGTTATTTTTCTAACCCATAACTGGTAAACCATCTCCCTACTAAGCACAAGACCCTGTAGGATAGGTTACTATGGACTGAGCATTGGGGAAAGGATTAAAGCAATTTCCAGGGACAAGGCCAGTCTGAGGGAGCCATCCCATTGGGGTGGGGGTGGCAGAGAGGAGCTGGATCCCCAGTGTGGGACCAGGGAGTTGGCATGCCCCCCCAGACCCAGCCTCTCACCCCAATTCCTCACCACATTTTCTACTGAGAGCAAAGTGGCCACAGCCCTTTGTAGAATGGTGGTGACTTCTGAGTTTGAAATTTTCCATGAAACTGCTGCTTTGTTTTAGGATTAGAGTGGGGGGGCAGAGAAGAAACTTCTGTGGGGCTCCAGCTATGAATGAGGCACTAACCTCTGCTTGCACATGGTTATCTGGATACTTCTTGCCATTTTTAGAGATGAATAAACTGAGGCTCAGAAAACTTAAATGACATGCCCCAAGTCTTAGTGCTACTTTAGTGACAGCCAGGATTGGAGCCCAGTCTTCCTGGTGCCAAAGCCTGGATGCTTGGTTCTAGAATACCCTTTCTACGGGGGAACAGTGATAATAACAGTGCCCATTTCTTTTTTTTTTTTTTTTTTTTTTCATTTGTTTTGAGAGAGGGAGAGAAAGAGTGAGAGCCGGGAAGGGACAGAGAGAAAGGGAGAGAGAGAGGATCCCAAGCAGGTTCTACACTGTCAGTCCAGAGCCCAATGCAGGGCTCGAACCCACGAAGCCATGAGATCATGCCCTGAACCAAAACCAAGAGCCGGACGCTTAACCAACTGAGCCACCCAGATGCCCCATAACAGTGCGCATTTCTTGAGCACCAGCTATGTGTCAGTCTCAAAGCTGGTGCTTCTCAGCCTCTGCTGGACATTGGAGTCACCTGGAGAGCTTTGAAAATTCCCAGCACCCAGGCTACCAATCAGAACAGGGGCTGGGGCTCAGGTGTCAGTATTTTGGAGCATCTGCCATTGTCCCAGCATGCAGTCAAGGTGGAGACACAGTGCTCTGCACTAGAGTGGATCTCAAGCTTTAACAGGCACCAGAATCTCCAGGGCAGGGGAGGAAGGGGGTTGCTCAATAAAACACAAAACTTGTTGAAATGCAGATTCCTGGACCCCATCCCCAGAGTCCTAGATTCTGTAGGCCTGGGGTGGGGTCCTAGAATTTATATTTCTTACAAGAGCCCAGGTGGTGCTGATGCTGCTGGTCCAGGGACCCCACTGTGAGAACCACTGCCATACATCATCTCCTTCAGTCCTTCCAGCCGCCCCTCCGGGAAGCTCTTCTCCCACCTACAGCAGGACACAGACCCAGAGGGAGGAAGGTAGTGGCCCCAGCTCCGGCTACTCATCACAGCCAAGATGAGGTTCAGACCCGGGCCTGACTGACTTCCAGACCTGATCTCCTAGTTGCCCCCCAACTGCAGGGACTTGGGCCCTCCCACCCCCCTCCCCCC